TTTTTTCTCAGGTCATGAGATAATTAGCAAATGTAGCTCCGATATCACTGAATTTATAAAAGTTAAAACATTAAAAGAGCAAATTTACAACAATTATATCATCTGCAAATGTATCTGTAAGTATCTCCACCTCTGTTGCATTGTTTCATTAATCCTCTTAATTCCCACACACAGTGATTAATTGTGGAAAATAAGACAGTGGCAAAGGGTCTGGATTAAAAATGACATTTTTGGGATTACAAGACTTTAATGATGCCACAAATCATCAACTGGGAATAAAATGTAGCTGTTTTTTTGGGGGGTTTTTTAATTTTAATTTGCAAAGAATCTGTTTAAATGGTCAGAGGTGAAGCTCGACACTAATAGATCCAAAGTTCGCTCTTTTCTTTAGGTGTGAATTTGAGGCAACTGGTCCTGTCTGAGTCTGTCAAAGCAATTTATCCAAAAGGGCTTAAAATGAACATTTTTCTTCATAGACAAGGCTAAAATATCTACACCCAAAATCATGATCATAAGCATGGTTCAAAGTTATAATCATTAAGATCTTTATTAAACCAATCACCAATCAGTGTCCTATGGAGGAGGAACCTCTGGCAGCTACAGAGAAGAATCATCCACCAACATGCTCACTAGCTTTTCAAAGCTCCTCAGGCTGCAGCTTGTCGTTGTTGTGTTGTTGTGTTTCCTCTTCAGCGTTCTCCTGCTACATCACGTGACTGACAGATGGTTCATCCAATCACCTGCCAAGTATCGTTTTTTTTTTTTTTTTTTAAAAAGCGCCTGCCGTTCCAAATAGTTTTTAACGAAGTCTTCCAAGAGCTTCTGGTGCAGATTAAAAAATGTTTTTAAAAAAAAGCATCTGAAGCGTCAGGTTAGTTTGTGATTCTATTTATGGTCATTTTCTTAACCAATAGCCAATGTGTGTTTCATTGCAGCCACTGTCTTTGTCTGTACCTGCTGATGCTTACCAACAACCGACGTTTGCGTGGCTATAGGAGTGTTTGCTGCGCCCACTTCCTGTTACCACCTGTAACCATGGCTGTTGCTAAGTCAACCAGCACTGAAATTGTAAGGATTATAACTCTAACAACCACCCCCCCCCCCCCCCCTTCCCCCGCGTACTGTGTTTCAAGGCATTTAAAATTATAAATGGTTAAAATTACAGCTTCCTATCACACCCTAATAATATGTAAAAAGCTTCCAGTATCAACCTCTGCACACATAAGGTCAAATGTCTGCGTGAAATTACAATAAGCAGAACATATTCTTGAGAGGGGAGGGGGAACTCAAACAGTGTGGGAGCCTGTAAAAAAACACATTTGGTGGTGATGCGCTGTTTTCTATTTTATTTTTGGGTTTTTTTTGTCTCCTCGGCGGTGGGCAGAGCTCACAGAGCGGCCGTCTAAGAACAAGTTTTTACAATACGAACATCTGGAGTACCGGAGAGAGGTCCACGACTCAAACCACAATCCCCCACAGACAGCAGTGTTTTTCAGCCTGACACTGTGTTCACTACTTGCTGAATTTCATAACCGTTTCCCTCTGTTTTGGAAATCTAGGGCTCTCGGGGGGGCTGAGGGCAGAGGTTTAGATAATGTTCACATTACTACATACATGCCAGATGGGGCGGTGGGTTGATATACAGTACTTTATGTGCATAACACTATCTTTGTGTCACGTTCTACCCTCGTGACATCTCCCTCACGGAGACTTCGGAAGTGTCTGAATAATGAAATATTTCACATTTTTAAGAAACGATTTAAACACCAGCGGAGCTTCAGGAACATCGTTCACACAGTGTTGAAAAGATTCTTTACACCGCGTTGTGTACTGTTGTGGTTGTGGTATATTACAGTCACTTTGAGCATATGCAAATTATGAGCATCAATGCTTTTAAAATGCCTGTAAGCGGCAGTGAGTAGGTGTCTTAACTTTTCAGTTCTCAGTGTTTTTTCTTGCCAGTGACACCAAAGTCACTTCCTGTCTTCTTCTTTTCAAATTACAGTATCTTATTAGAATGGAAAGGCGTTTTCTTTGTATTCGTTTGCATAAATCATCCTATTATTGGGTTTCTTTTGGTCAAAACTAAACCAAATTATGATCATATGAACTTTAAAATAAAACACACACTGTGCTTCTTTAGTTAGTTCTCACCATGAGTCTTAATTTAGAAAGTCCTCTCAAAGGAGTCATATGAGCCTCATGTAAAACAGACAGTTATGCTCTGTGGAGCACAGCGTCTGTGTTTCTACATTGTTTTAAATAATCTTTACCTCTACCTTAAATGTAAATCTTCACGCCAGACTGTTACGCTCTTTCAGTAAATGTGTTTATTGACATTAACATAAAGCACTTTCTCCAAAAAACAAACCATCAGCTCATGAGGGACTTAAACAGCACAAGGCCTGAACTCACCCACAACTGCAACCCACAGTGTTTACACTGTTGGTTTATTAGAAATGAGACATGCAGCGAGGCCTCTGTTACAATCAGCACTTAGAGATTTAATAAAATTAAACTTAAACCGGTCCAGGGCTCAAGGATTGCATGTGGCTTTTTGGATGAACCGCAACAGCAGGGCCAGCCCTATATGTCCGTGACTTACTGACTGAGTGATCATAGTTCCACCATTGGTCAGCTGAATGCCACGTGACCTAGTTGGAGTTTCCCCATTGGATATTTGTCACTAGATTTATGGACACCAACAGATCTAGTGACTCCTCGGACAAAACCGAGGCTCTGAGTGAGAGAAAAGATATTCTGTCGCTTCTAACTTTGTCTCTGACTGATCATTTTGATTGTAAATGCAGCTGAAATCACAGCAGTCTTTGTCTTTAATGTGTATGTTTGGTGATTTGGTCAGACGACGTCGCGGTTATAAAATCAGGATTTTAGCAGCAGCTTGGAAATGACTTGGAAGTGACTATTGGTTTAACATCTCTCTACATGGAGTTACTGGAACGTTGGATTTCTCTTCACTGCGAATTAATTTCTGAGAAAACGTCAGTAAAATGCCACTGTCTCCACACACAGCTGCTAAAATGGTTAAAAACTATGACATATTTGTATTTTTTCACGTCTGTGTCATATTCAGATTCAGCATCGACATAGACAACTATAGTGGAAGGTTGTCAGTTTACTGTGATGATGCTGGTGTGATGTCGGTATGACATCAGCAGGTCGTTTCTCTGTCTGTTTTTGCTGGGAAACGCGCGCTAGATCACGGCGCTCAGCTGTGGCGCGTGAGACAGACAGGGGGCGTGTCAGTTGTCTGACACCAGAAACTGAAAAAATATGTTGATGAGAAAAGCTTTACTGGAAATTCAGCTTTATTAAAATAGTGAAACCAGCTGACACTAGGCAGACTGCAAATACAGCGCAGCGATGGCAGTCGTTTACAACGGTCCCTCAATTTCGCACATTGACCACATTGGTCCGGACATATGCTACGTTTTGACCTAGTCTTGTTATGGGGCTCTCATATCGCCATCTTTATTCAAATCCGCATCAAATTCTTTAATTTATATTAAAATATGTAAATCATTGCCAGTAGCTCTGGTTTTCTAGATCTCAGCTATTAATAATAATGATAAAACTTTATTTTTATAGCACTTTTCAAATACTTTACATGTTATCATAACTGATAATAAGAAATTATGTCCAAAACTACAAAAATAGGTGCATACTGAATATGTGTTTCAGTATATTTTTATGCTGTGTCACTCCAGTTCTTTCCACACTGTGTTTGGTGGGTGATTTTAAAAACAGTGAGGTCTGTTCAAGGTCCAGATACAGTTTACAGAAGACCTGATCGGCCTGAGAAATCTTTTTTTTTTTTTTTTAATCGATGAGCTTTTTGGAAAAATTAAAAAAAAAAAATATTACTATAACTATGGAAACTGATAATGAATAGATCTGCTGTACCACCTGGCAAATAATAGGTGACCAAGTAGTTGTATTACCTAGTAAAAACATCGCACCTCACAGCTGTTTTTTGTTTTTGTTTTTGCGCTGATTTGTAATCAGTCACCTGAAGACAGGAGGACTACCCCGCAATCAATACAATGCCATTTGTGCTGTAGCTCACTCGTGGAAAGGTTATCGCTGATATAAAGAAAAGCACAAGTGGAACATGAAATGCAGACTGGTATTAAAAATGCAAACTGTGGAGACACTGGGTTTGAGATAAAAAATTACATGTTAAAAATACACTCTGCAAAGTGAAGACTAGAATCACCAGCTCACTGTTCCGAGCCTCCGCCAGCCGGTCCAGCTGAAGGTTAGACGTCGTGTTTGTCCAGACTTCAAAGGAATTTCATGAAAAGTATTGAGCGTATTCTTTTTTTTTTTTTTGTTAAAATGGAATTTATGACTAAATTGACATTTTTTAATCCAGCGAATCGTTTTCAGTGAGAAATATGTTGTTTTCACATCGGAGGCTGCTACTACAGTGGAGCACAGAGCTTGTGGTCGTCACCCAGGGGGGGCGAGGATGTGAAGAAGGTGGATGAATAAAAGTCAAAGCAATGAACTAGAATGACCACCTCGCGGTTGTACGCCTCCGCCAAACAAGTCAAGTTGCAGGAAATATGGTCACATCTCCCCTTTCCTGAGCTACAGCATTGGATTTGACGTTATGATGTCACACTGAAGTTGACCTTTGACCATTTGCAGACAGAGTGTCAATCAGTTCATCCTTGGCTCCGAGTGAATGTTTATGCCGTCCTCGAGGTGTTATTGCGATATCGCATTCACAAGACTGAGACAAACAGACGGATGGACGGACAACCTGAAAACACGATGCCTCGGGCTTTTGGTTGTTTCCAGCGTGAAACCATAAAAACAAAAGTCATTTTCTCACCTGATATTGAGTTTGACTGCTCCACACACAGGTTAGAGCCGGACAGTCAAGTCACAGTATCAGATAATGTCTTAAGTTGAGGTTAAATCTGTAATTTTCTTGATAATAGTGATTCGGCACCGTCTCCTGTGCTGCTTACCTGCAGGGTCAGAGTGGGTGGGCTCTCCCATCTGTTTGTATGGGTTGAACTTGGGCTTGGGTGCAACCATCGGGGCGAATTTCTTGGGTGCCTGCTGCTGGGAGATTGAGATGCTCGCGCTGCCCAAAGACGGTGTGGTCTCCATCCGGGCAGCCACTTGCCCCGTCTGGTCGTTACTGTTCGTTGGGTTCCACATGGTTCTGATGAGGAAAGACAAAGGTTATTAAAAACTGAAGCTCTGACCAGTGAATGTAACGTCGGTCAACGTGAGTGACAGAAACCATAAAGGCTTTTAGGGCTAGAGCCAAAAATGAGCATCACTACGGGGCGCAAATAAAAAAATCTAGCCTCAAACAGTTAAACTTTAACGACACAACAAATTTATCTTCCAGTTATCCCAGTATAAACTGGAACTGCAAGTCCAGCCTTCATGTGTGGCCATTTCAGACAGGTACAAACACATGTGCCTTTAGATGTTGTGACACAGAACATTGTGAGACGTAGTTTGTCTGAAGCTCGGGCCTTAAGGCGGTGCAGAGAAACACGACAGCCATTAGCATCTCTGTATGGCTGTATCTAAGAACAGTGGTGCTTTGTTGGTGAATGTTGACGTCGGCATGCTAACATGTTAAATCTGTTAGCATGGTGATGCCAACCAGGTATAATGTTTAGCACCATCTGAGTTTAGCATCTTAGCATGTTAGAATTTGCAAATAAGCATTAAACAGCTGAGGCTAAAGGAAATGTTATTAGTTTGGAAAGTATTTGATGGCGACGCTAAAGGAAAAAGTCAGTGGGATAGCCAAAGTCATTAGCATTCCTCATCGTAATCCATCATCCACCCGATAGCTGTTGAGACATTTCAGTCTGGACCAAAGTGTTGGACCAACTTCTCCATCCCAGGAGCCTCGCTGCTAGCATGGCTAAAAAAAAACAGCTCAATAGAGAAGTTGCCACCAGCTGTTTATCCTTATTTGACCACCACAAGTTTATACGGGTCGTCTTGCTTGTATTATTAAAACTGTTAAAACTCAAATCTCTTTTTATGGAGAGGCTCAACCTACTGTACGAATCACCTTACACGGGCCACACTGTTTTCTCCACACGCAGCACAAGTGATCGAGTCTACTTTTTTCTTTCAGCTATTAAGTCAGACTATTAAAGCAGCCGTCATTCTTATAATAATAAAAAATAAGGTGATACACACTGTGTTCTGACATGTATTCATGTGTCCAATTTAATAAGGTAACACAGTTAGAACAAGGTCTGAGCCTTGTTGTTGTTTTACTCACAATCTTTCTTGCAAAGCTCAGACGAGAACAAACAAATCAAAATAAAGTGTCAAAAAAAAAAAAAAAATGGCGGAAACAACAAAGTATTTTAAAAAACAAAAAGACTTTATAACAGAAAAAGTATTGAAAAATGTTGTAATGCTGATGTAACCATCAGTGATTTGTAAGTGTTGATGTAGCTGTCAAAACTGAGATCAGATCAGTGTTCAGGAACGCCACAACGCTGATCCACACGTCACAGAGGGAAGGCGACGATGTACGACTTAATTTTTCAAATGTGTCTACTCATTATTTTTTTTGTTGTTTTCTGGCGGAGGTCACTAAACGCACAAGATTATAAAATATAACATTTTCCCATCCAGACGCTCAGCTCTGACTGATAGCTAATGACTATCATTTATTTCATGAGTCGACTCGTGTGTCTTTTATACAGTTACAGTGAAGAACACAGAGGGAAAGAACTCGCTGCAGCTGAAGACACAAACATCCAGTATTTCACCATCACATTCTGAAATCACTTGAAATATTTGAACTATTTATACGCCACTCCCCCCCCCCCACCCCCCATCCTTTCTTTTTGTTTGTGTTTGTTGTGCTGCGTTCTGATGTTTCTGCTGTTTATTATCCTCACTTTGACTGATACAGGGTTTACATTCTTTCTCCGAAGCACAGCAGAAAAAGCCCACGCACAATCATCTTTTAATATCTGCTCAAATCCCTGCTCCTCCTGCCGTCTGAATGGTTCTCACTTTTGATATTTTTCTCTGCTCTTAATGCTACGATTCAGACGCCATGCTGGTGTCTCACACACACCCACCTGTCCTTTCAGCGCAAATGCTTTCATTTCTCGACACTGAAATGGCTAACAAAATAAAAGATGAATTGGAAAGAGGGGTGAGGTGGGTGCGGGGTGTGGGGGGGGTGTGGAGAAGAAATGATCTTAGCATGTGTGAGTGAAAGACTCAATACAAGACATGTTGAATGGAAAATTTCTGTTTCAGTTTGCGATTTCATTTTTTGATGATGGCAAATAATTCACAGGGGGATGTCACTTTGTGCGCACACGGCCCTAAAGTGCACATTAAACCCACATTCGTCTGCGAGTTCAAATAAACTTCCTTCAAAACAAGTGATTTTTTTTTTTTTTTTGCGCCATTCTGGGGACACGCACCTGAGCCCAACACAATGACGACCTCGCCATATAATCACTCCGGTGATTCATAGATTACCTGTGTGAATAAAAACTTTTAATTACTTTTCTTCCATTTTTACTATAAAATCTTATCTACATAACATTCCCTCTGAACTGACTTCAAATTAAAATTAAATCTACTTTCTATTGGAGAAGTGATCTCTATTAAAAAAAGAAAAAAGGCAGACAGTGTGTTCTGTGGTTTATAGAGTAACAAGGACACCGTCTCTCAAAAGAAATGATCCTGTAGAGTTTTTAAATGTAATTTCTCACTGTTTTGAGCTGCGCAGTCTCCTCCATTGTGCTGCAGCAGAGGCAGAAGTCTCAGTGGCAGATGTGTTATCAGACACCAAAAGGGATCAATATGAATGTATTTGTTTATTCTAATATGTTGAAGGATGAAGCTCAGCTCTCTAAATGCTTTGTGACTTCATGAAAACTACAGAAAACGTTACTCAACCAGAAGGAAACAGCGCATTTTTGTTGAGGACTATTTTCGGCGGCGGATTAATACACATTTGATCGTCTGGTGAACACAGCGACTGGGGGATGGCGGCAAAATAAACTGTGACCATGTGACCACATTCACTGTAACGAACAACATCTCAGTTAATTTGAACTAAATTATTAATTTTTTTGGACAAGAATCGAGCAAAGGAGGCGCAGAAGAACGAGATATATATCAGTTAGTGGGATCAATTCATTTTCCAGGGAATTTGTTGACAGATATCAAAACGTATAATATAACATCACCAGATTTAAAGACAACAGTTCAAAGACTGGAGGAGAAAAGACGGAGGGAAAGAGAGGGGAGTATCTGAACATGACGGAGTCTCCATTTCCCTCCCAGGGCGAGAAGTCGTGTGCTGTCGACTTTCTCCCAAGACATCACATGGAATACGTATCTGGATCCTGACTATTTGTCAAATCACAACGCGGGTTCACCTTTTGACATCGTAGGACACATGACAAAATAAAGCATCCAGCGCGGTCTGATGGTTCAGGACTGAGGGGGAAGCTTCAACCTCCACAGAGAAAGTGAAGAGGCAGACTTCCTCAACAGGTCTTTTTACCCTCCTCTTGACTGTGATCTATATGGCTCAATGAGTCGCATGTGTCTCAGCTCTGTGGCACAGAAAACAAAGAAAATGCACAACCGGGTTTTTCTAAAAAAAATAAATGAATAAATTCATTTGAAAATGACTTCATTGTCTTCTTTGTCGGCGTTATAGGGACTGGCTGTTCATAGGCAAATCTGGGTTGGAGGCGGAAACAAACAAGCCACAATTACAGCAGTGGTATTTTTAAACCTAAAGTAGTAACACTGGAGTGCATGAAAGGATTTTAGGTTTCAACCACTTTTACCAAGAAATATGAGCAGGAACTTTGGTATGACCCATTATGTGCTGAAAATATAGTCCTCAAATACCATTAAAATGAAAATTATAACCTAAAAAATTAAAGTTCAGTGCAGCTTTAGTCCAAGATGGTGTAGCATTTTCTCCAGAAACCGGACAACCACTGAGAGAGAAAAGATTCGTATCCATATATAATCAATAATGTTTAATTTTTTTGATTCACATTAGTGTGAAACACATTTAGGAATCGTAACGTATCAAAAATCTAGGAGAGCGTGTTTTTGCTCATTGTATTTTCCCACCTGAGAAAGTTTGTGTGCTGCGGCTCCTGCATGTGACTAAGTGCGATCTGATGTGATTCACACCGACTTCCTGTTTGATTTCTTTGGTGCACAGTGCCTTTTCTGGAATGTCCTCATGCTTCATCTGATGCTGTTCATTTCATTTCCAGTAAACTCGTAAACTAAATTTTCTGGTGTCAGGCCCAACTCCATCTGTGCATCATTAACAGCTGCTGATGAAGCCGGGCCTTGTTTGTTCGGACGTGTACTGTACACGATGTGCTGCATCTTGTGTCTCGTTGCCGTTCACATTAATGAGCCGCTGAAGGCGCTGTGGCTTTCAGTTTCTCTGATGCTTTCACAGAACTAACCATAGCTGCATCTGATCAGTTTAAGAGGACGCTATGGAGCACAACCATCCAGTGATATCAAGTATATCACAAGTAATTATTAGGGAACTTACAATGCAGCATGGTTGGAGACTGTCCCAGCATGCAGCAGTGATGGGCTACACACCGGAGTTTCCATTCCATCCTGTGTGTCTTGACAGTGTGGGAGGACGCCAGAGGAAACCCACACAAACACAATGCATGCTGCACACACACCACATGCAAATGACTTGAACTTTGCTTTAAACATATTCTGATTCAACAGATGTGGAGCCGATGTGGTGAGCATCTCAAAGGTCGACGCTGTGAGCCTGAACATGACACGCTTCTTGTTTATTTAACTTTGGCTTCTGTGAGCTCTCGCTACTTAATAAGCTAAACTTCGCATTTGCTCGCTGCTCGTCTCTATCAGCTTTGATGTGTTTGTGATAAGAAATAAAAGTCCCTCCCTCTCTCATCTCATACTAACACTCACGCACACACATATATATATATATATATATAACAAAAAAAAAAAAAAAGAAAGAAAATACACACAACACATTGCCATAAGTGAGGCATATGGCATAGGTCGAAAGTGCACGCACGCAGTCACAAAACAGGCTGTGCACGTAGCGAAGCCTCATGAAAGGAAAGTCAATTCTGATTGCCGGGGCAGTTACAAGATGACTCACAAAGCTGTGACACC